GTGGTTTCACCAATATTACTGCTTTGGGCAATGCTAAGAACAAGAAAAGGAAGTCAGCCCTGGCCGGGTGGCTCAGTTGGTTGTAGCATTGTCCTGTACACTAAAAGGGTTGAGGGTTCAATTCCCAGTCAGGGCACATACCTAGGTTTTGGCTTCAATCCCTGATCAGGGCATGTACAGGAGGCAACAGATCAATGTTTCTCTCTCACATCAATGTCTCTCTCCCTCTCTCTCTCTTCCCACACACACACACACACCCCAAAATCAATAAAAACATATTCTTGGGTGAGTGTTTTAAAAAAGGAAAAGAAAAGGAAGTCAACTACATCAACTTAAAGAAAATATTTAAGGTAGTAGAAAGGAGGTATGTATACGGCAAACAGTAAACAGGTGCATGAATAACAACATTTAGGAAACTTGGCCAAGGCGCTACTCATCCCTGTTGCCTGTGTGAATTATTAGCAGAAGGAGTTGGATCAGCACCTTGGAGAGCACACGTGCTGGGTCTGGGAGGGGCCCCAGCCGCATCCCCATCCCCTGGACTCCTTAGTGACAGTCGGGCCCTCAAGCACGAAAGCAAAAGGCTAGGGGTTTGTTTTCACCTCTCAGGTTCTGATTTTAGTGCTTCTTAGATGCATATAGAGCAGTGGTTCTCAACCTTGGCTGCACATTAGAATCACCTGGGAATCTTTTTAAAAACCTGATTTCTGGGCCTCATCCTCCGGAAATTCTGTTTCTTTGTTACTAATGTTGTGGCCTCACCCCATAACAAAGAAACAGAATTTCCGGAGGATGAGGCCCAGAAATCAAGATTTTAAAAAGATTCCCAGGTGATTCTAATGCGCAGACAGGGTTGAGAACCACTGCTATAGAGTAACAGACCTGGATGGGACTTTTTGAAATGATAAATGTATTATGTGAGCCCCAGCTTCTAAAGGCTTTCCACTTTTTTCTTTTCCTTTCATACACTAACTTCCTATTTGATTTACCCCCAGCTTATGCTGTGCTTCAGGAAAAGCAGCACTAGCACCTGGAACGTTCCACGATTTGAACCAAGGAAATGTCACTGGGAGGAGGAGCTTGAAGTCTTCTGCCTGTGGGTGTGATAGATGGGGAGTTTTAAGGGGAAAGCAGAAGGTCTCTTGTGTCCCCAAGAAAAACTCCAACAGCAGCTGAAAAGCAGAGAGTGTAGCTGAGAGATTAGCTTTCCACCAAAGTTGTTCTCCCGGCCTCCCTTGCACGAGGGCAGGCCATGCGACTAAGTTCTAATAGTGGGTCGGCAGAAGCAAAGGGTACCATTTCCAAACTAAGATTTTTCGGAAGCAGCTTGAGCCTCCTCCATGCTCTTTCCCCTCTGCCTCTGAATGTAGACAGAACAAGGCCATAGGAATTGATGGAGCCACATGAGATGGAAGGAACCTGGATCCCTTAACCACTACATGGAGAATGTGGGCGAGGCCAGAAACACCCATCTGGTACCGCTGCATGAGTGAAAAGGAAGCTTCCATGGTGTCTGAGCCAGTACACATGGGGTGCGGTGGGAGTCTGGGGGGGCGGTCCCACAGTTGAATTCACCCTGGCTAACAAAGGAGCCTAGTGCCCTGGCCACACCCAGATCAACCAAGCCTGGCCGGGGGTCTGACCAGGAAGAGGAGGCCTTCTGAGAGCTCCATGTGCTGTGCCCGGTCGTGTCCTTTGCCAGGCCTCCAGATATCGCTCGAGTCCCTTTGGCCTGGAAGCCTTCCCTGCCTTCAGCGAGGCCGCCGCCACTCCGCAGGCGCTCTGGGCGCATCTGACTTAGTGGCACATCACATCTGTGTGATTTTTTAGATTAATATGTACATCCCCACAGGGTTTCGAAGTACATGTTTTTCAAAACTCATAGGCTGCTATACTTATTTGTGTCCTTCATTGTATGTAAATTTCCCCTTAAAATAGTTAAAAACAAATATTGAATTCTGGTTCAATGATATGCATGCTGAAGAGTTTAGGGGCACAGTGTACCAACATCTGCAACCTGCTTTGAAATGCATGCAAACGTGGGGGGTAGCAACTGCCCTGCAGTGCCCTCCCCTTTAAGGGGTGTGATCTATCGCAAAATGGGAAACTCGGGCATCTAAATGTAAAACCACGGTTGGCAAACTAGGGTGGCAAAGGATGACTACTTGTTTTGAAGGATCACAGAGGTTTCTGTTATCCTAGTTGCTTTCATGACATACTGTTGTTGTCATTTATTTGATGCCATATCCCAAGCCTGAAACTGAACTTTCAATCATTATAACAGTTTCCATAGAAACATATCATCTATACTTGCTCGCTCCCTCACTGCTCCCCAATGGCCCGCTTTCCCACCTCCACCCCCTCCCCAGCCCCAGCCCTTTCCACGAGGCCCTCTGGAGCTTCCATTCCTCAACAAAAAACTCTCCAACCTACACTGTTAACTCTGGAGGTAACAAGGCCAAGAACAAAAATGCACATTTATGTTTGTTAAATTAACATGGAGACACTGGAAGGATGCAAATGAAATGAACAAAAGTGTTAACCTACGGAGGGCAGTAGCAGGGAGGGGCCACGAAAAGATGCGAACTTGGGTGGGAGCAAGACTTAGAAATATTTACCCTTTAAATATAATTTTAATGAGGAGCCAGGGATGTCGTGCTTGCTAAAAATACAATTTTAAAAACTTTCCAACAGCCTCAGCCTATTAGAACTCTTCATTCAGGCCACTTTCTTCCATGTCATCATGGAAACCGCCCCAACTTTGGATCTAAATGCCTCTCTTAGCATCTTAAATCTCTTGACCTCATCCATTTGTTTTCATCCCCAGGCCTCCAGACTCCTTCTTTCTCACCAGGATAAACCTTCCTCCTGCTTTGACTTCCTCCCAGCCCAGTCTAGACACTGCCTGCATTCATTTATTCTCTCTGCTTTTGCTGAGAACCTGCTGGAAGTGGGCATCCCTCATCCCAGAATCCTTACCTCCCTTATTACTGTAAACTACACCCACCATCCACGTCTCCACATCTAGGCTGCTCAGAGCTGCTGGCAAAGATCATGCAGTGGGGTGGACCACTGCCATTACCAACTTCTTACCGGGTATGTAGGACTGCTCAGCAACCCTACTGCGTGCTCCTGCTCTCAACGCCCATCAGCAACCCTACTGCGTGCTCCTGCTCTCAACGCCCATCAGCAACCCACCTGCGTGCTCCTGCTCTCAACGCTCATCAGCAACCCTACTGCGTGCTCCTGCTCTCAATGCCCATCCCATGAGAGGCTGTTCCCGCGTGGGCCAGATCCCCAACCCACCTCAGCACATGACCTGGGCCCCATAGAGAAAATCTAGCATTCAGTCTCGGCCCTGACTCAACTCAATCCACAGGCACTGGGAGTTCAGTGCTGAACACGACAGAGAAGGTCCCTGCTCTCGTGCAGGTCAGATCTTAGGAGGAGAAGAACAACAAACCGATACAAGCAAGAAAAGTATCACCGTGTGATGGGTGCTGCGAGAGTTAAATATAGTGAAGGATGAATGAATGGCTCTCTGAGGAGGTGGTCTGGGAAGGCTTCCCGAAAGAGATGACCTCTAAGTCGCGTTGGGAATGACGAGAAGGAGCCAGCCACGCATCACAAACCCTCCAAGGCAGAAGGAGCTTTGTCTGTTTCACAATCCCAGGAATCACCAAGCAGAGTGTGTGGCGGGAGGAAGAAAAGGAAGTTGTTGAGTGGGGTTTATATCAAGGGTCATAATTAAGAATGATGTAAGCCAACCCGGCCGGTGTGGCTCAGTGGTTGGGTGTCGAACTATGGACCAGGAGGTCACAGTTAGAAGCCCAGTCGGGGCACATGCCTGGGTTTTGGATTCGATCCCCAATGTGGGGTATGCAAGAGGCAGCCAGTCATTGGTTCTCTCTCATCATTGATGTCTCTATTTCTTTCTCCCTCTCCCTTCCTCTCTGAAATCAATAAAAATATATTTTACAAAAAAGAATGATGTAAGCCACGACATAGTATAGAATTCATTCTAATTGTGAAGAGATGTCATTGGAGTGTTGCAAGCAGGGGAGTGCCTTGACCTAATGTAGTGTTTTAAGAAATGACAATGGCTGCTACGTGGAAGGGGTGTTACTATAGGTCACGGGTGGCAGCGGGACAGCAGCGAGGAGCTTCTGCAGCAGTCAGTGGAGTACACGGTTAGCGTAGGTCGCGTGGGGAGCGTGGAGAGAAGTGTCAGTGCACGACGTGCTCTGGGGAAGCAGGTGCTGGGACTCACCAGCTGATTCACAGCTGGGGTACGAGCAGGGTGAGGGCAACTCCAGGATAACTCATATCTTACTTAGGCTACAGAGATGGGAAAGAAACTTGTATTCTTTGCACACCCGAGTTCATGGTATGAGATTTATACTAGACATATCTGTGGCACACAAAGGGCTTAAAAGGCTCAACGCAACACTAAACAAGTCCGGAATACTTATAATACCATCTCAGGTTCAGTAAAACAGTCTCTCCAGGCATCTATAAAAGCATCCAGAACCACTCTACGAGGCCCAGGGTCATCCTTCAACTGTGCTGCTATGCGAAAGGCACTGTCTCCATTCTTGGCTGCAAGAGTGATCTTTTCCAAAAGGCAAATCTGATTGTGTCACTTCTCTGCTTAAAATCTTTCAGAGGCTCCCCACTGCACTGTGAGTAAAATCCAAACTCCCCACCACAGCTCATAAGGCTATGCATGACCAGGCCCTGCCCATCTCTTCAACCTCACATCCTACTACTTCCCTCATTCATGACATTTTGGCCCCAACTCCTGATGGTACCTAAAATGTACCAAGCCCTCCCTACCCCAAGTCCTTTGCACATGCTGTTCTCTCCTAGCTCTTTGAATGTTTAGCTTGTTCATTCTCATCCTCAGGTCTCAGTTTGTATGTCACCTTCTCAGACAAACGTGTTCGCCTTTTTTAGTAATTTTTTTCTGGAGCAGGTACAACCACCAAACCACACTGTACCTTGCCAAAGCTGCCTTTCCCAAGCACCATCAGGAAGTTAAAATCACTCAGCTTCATCCGGTCCCTGTTCCCATTGTTGTCAAATTTGGCTATGGTGTTGGTAGTTTTTTCTTCTGGAGTCTTGGGTGTCTGGCCGATCTTGGCCCTCTGGAGGGGGAAACACAAGACACATCATTAAAAAGCCAAGTCATAAACCGGAAAAAAAAAAAAAAGACACATCATTAAGGTTTGACGATGCCTTTGTAAGAAGACACATATAGACATGCATGGTGTGGTTCCTGCCACTCACACACCCCTATCCCATGAAAAGCATGGCCAACAGCCCACTCTGCAAGGCCAGAACCTGGAGGCCATCCTTGGCACCTCCATTTCTCTTGAAGCCCTCACATCTCACCAGGAGCAGTCACCTTTTCCTCCTCGCGGCCTCTAGAATTCATCTTCTTTCCATCTCCACCAACATCACCTGCCATCAGCCCTCACCTGGACAGTCACCTTGGTTCCCTCCACACTGGGCTTCACATGAAGCCAGAGCAAGATTCCACTTCCTCACACCCAACCGAGTCACCACCTGCTTAAAATGCTTCAGTGGTGACTCATTTTTAGGATAAAGACCTTGAAGCGTGTACTGGCCAATATGGCCCAGCACGATTGGGCCCTACCTGGTTCTCCCACCACATCACTCCTTGAGCCCTTCTTCCCTGCAACCCAGCTTCATTCTTTCACCTCCCACCTCAGGGCCTTTGCACGTGCTCTTGCTTCTCTCTAGATGGCTATTCTTTCCCCTTCCTTCTTTCGTCAACTTAGTTACCCCAGTTTCACTTCCTCGGGCAAGTCCTCCTTGATTCTTTGTGTCTGGACTAGGTGTCCCTACTAGTATTTGCTTCCTTCATTCATTTCACCTCCCATTTATACTGGATGATAACTGCCTGTTCACTTTTCGCCCCAGGCGCACTGAAAACAGTGAGGGCACAGACTATATCTCATTCTCCACAGTTTCCCTGACAACCAATATAGTTTCTGGTCAAATGGATAAATGAATGGGGGAGGGACCTGCTTCTGTGAGCAGCAAAATAGTGACTCATATGGCAGCAAATGCTCTGGAACAAGAGATAGGAGAACAGCAGGGAGACCTGCAGCTGCCAGGGCCTTGTTACTGGATTTGCTTCTAGGAGTGAGAAAATTGTGGCATTAAAAGCTCACCTTAGAATTCCCAACTCTGGCAGTGGACAAGCTGTGTAATCCTGACTCACAACACTCCTCCACCAAACATCCCAGACCTTCCTGTCTCTGTCAGAGAAACAGGCAAAGGCCACAGATAACCTGGCCCCTCTGCACTCTCTTATTTCAGCCCCTTCTCCTTGCTATAACCACATGGCCTCATTGTCGTTCTCTGAAAGCACCAAACACATTCTTTTCCCAGGGCCTTTGCACTTGCTTTCTCTTGTGACTGGAGGTCTTTCCCCAGAGCTCCCTCACCTCTAAGAGAGCCCAAGTGCCTGACATGAAATAGCTCTCAGCAATCTCCCTCCCCCTTATTTACTTTATTTTCTTCATACCTCTTATCACCACCTTACAAACCAGATATGTATTTGTTTCTTAACTTATTGTCTTTCTCCTCACACTAGAACACAAGCTCCATGAGGACTGCCTACCACCACAGAGAGGCACTTACTTGCATTTGCTTAATGAGCCTTTCTAAATCTCAGTCCCCTTTCCAAGAAAATGGGTTAATGACATGAGATAATGTATCACAAAGTTCTCAGCACCATTCCTGTCACTTAGTGGATGCTCAATGGATGGTAGACATTATTATTGTTGCATTACTCACTTGTCTTTATAAGACAAAGAGGCAACAAAAAGCTTTCCATGGGGTTTAATATCAGAGAAGATTCATTCATTCATTCAAGAAATACTTATTGAGTGCCTGCTACATGCCAGGTATTGTCCTAGATTCCGAGGCTCCATCAGGGAGCAAAGCAGATACAGATGCTCAAAGAATTTGCATCCCAGCAGGAATTGGGTCCTCTGCACAAAATGTATTTGGGAGATATCCAGGTGAAGAATTTGGAGTCAGCAGCAGAAAGCCTTTATGGAGCCGACAACAAGACACATTCAAAGACTGGAACACTGAAGGCAAGGCAGATGTGGCCCGGGAGGCGGCCAGGAGCTGAGAAAGCCTTGCACACCCCACCAAGGAGTCTGGGCTGATCTGAGCACAGGAGGCTGTCACAGGGCCCTGGGAAGAGCACTCTGAATTTAGGGAAGGGGCCCAGTTAGAGGAGGCCAGTTTGAAACCTTTAGGAAGTGACTGCAGTCATCACAGTGAGAAATGGTGGGGCCTGACTCGGTGTCTGCAGTGTGGAGGGAATGAAGGGGGAGACAGACTTCTCAGGGCTGGACACGGATCGGGGGAGGGAGGTCAGGAGTGAAGGACAGCTCTGTTTGGAGCACCTGGGAGGGTGGTGGCGCTCTTCAGTGAGATGAGAAGTGGGGGAGGGTAAACTCTGGCGTGTGAGTGGAGGGGAAATAGGTGGCTGGTCTGATTTCAGTCAGTGAGATTCCCCCTTCCCGCGAGCCTTAACACTGCCCGGTGTCGGTCTTCTCCACGGGTGGTTCCACCAGCACTCTGCTGGTCATGCTGACAAAACATCCACCATTTTTTTTCGTTTTAATGTTTTAAAGGTTGAGGTGGATAGAGTGAAATGCATAAATCTTAGCTGCGCAGTTCTGTGAGTTCTGACAAATGTATACACACAAGTAACCCAAACCCCGATCAGGATGCAGAACATTTCCACCCTCAGGAAGTCCTGCGGCCCCTCCCTCCTCCCCACACAGGACTCCCTGCTCCCCCCTCCATCCCTGGAGGTCAGTGTTGTAGCGTCACCTACATGGAGCCAGAGGATGTGACACAATAAGAAGTATATGTTTGGTCTCTGCCCCTGGTTTTCCGGACAGAGAGCTCCTGAAACCCTTGGAATCTCCTGGGTGACAGGGCTGCAGGGAGCGTCCTTTGTTCTACTATTTGGCCTTTGATCGGAGTTCCCAAAGCCCTTGTGATTTCCTGGGGAATAGGAGCATCCTTTTTCCTAACACGGGGACTCCTGGTGGGCTCCTGAATGTCCTCTGGATGGAGGCTGTCCCAGCGGGACCAACCATGACTGGGAGCTTGGAACTTTTGGCCCCCATCTTCTGGGGCTGGAGATGGAGTTAATAACTGATCGATCATCCCTGCATAATGAAGCCTCAGAAATTCCTCAAACTGTGGGGTGTGCAGAGCTTCTGGGCTGGTAGACACATGCACGTGCTGGGAGGGTGGTGTACCCCAACCCCAGGGCCCAGTGGGACATCCTCTCCACAGGGGGCTGCTGGCCCAGGACCCCTGTGACCCTGCCTTGGGCTCCCCTGGTGCATGAGCACACAGCCCACTGGCAGGGCAAGCGGGAAGTGCTGGCAAGTTACCTCCCTGGAAGCAGCCCTCAGCATGAAAGGAAGGGCCCAGGTGGGTACTTCAGCCTCCTGCCCCTCGACTGGGAACCCTGAGCATGTGTGCAGTTCCCAGCGGACGAAGCCCCGGGAGCCCACAGCGTACGTGGCTGACAGCACGTGCACTTTGGCCCCCCGCTTCCCGCACATCCCTTCGGACCTCCTCCAGAGAAATGCCTGCGCTCGAGTCCTTACAGTCCGTCCGCTGCCGGGGACTCGCAAGGCAGGGCAGTGAGCAGTGTGGGATGTGAGAAAGCGGCTGAACCTCTCGGGGCCTCATTGGGGAAAGAGACATGGGGCTGCTAATAGCATCTACCATTCAAAGTGGTCACGAGGAGGAAATTCAACGAGTTCGTATTTCTAAAGCACTTAAAATAATACACGGCACATAGTCGGCACGTTTAAATCTAAAAACTCTAAGAAATTTTTTAGAAAAATCTCAGAAAACCCATTCTGAACATCCAGAATGGTACCTTCCCTTCCCTGGCCCATCGGCAAGCCCACAATCAGAAGACAGTCCTTCAGCCCACTCCGACCTTCTGGAATGCACCACACGTGGCAGCTGCACCCCACACACCCCAACTGTGAAGTATTACCCCAACTCCAGCAGCTTGACTTTACCGTCACTCGGAATTTCTCCAGATCAGAGACTTGAAAATAATCTCTGAGTCATTCTAGGTGCTAATTGGTTATTGCACAGGGATTACAATTTCTCCCGTTCAAGGTCAACTGAAATTCCTCTGTGTGTCTGAGAACACCTCTCAGTCTATTGGAAACGTGTTTTAGCCAACAGCTCTGGCCCGGAGCGATTATCACCCAGGTACACGCCAGCCCGCGCGGGCTCTTGCCGGGAGCACGGGACGAAACAGCCCGTTCCCTCACGCCAGGAACTGGCCCCGGCAAATGCTCTGCTCGTGCAGGAAACGTGTTCCTTGTGTTCCTTCTGCCCGAGGACAAGAAATCATTTTGCAAAGATGCGACTTCATTGTGTACAAGGAAAGGCTGCCCTGGTGTTTTGTCACCCACAGTAACACACTTAACAGCAGCAAATAGACACGCCTTCAGGGGAGGGACAGAAACGGTCTTGGGAAGGACTGTTTATCAGGCAGTGTCCAGCTCTCAGCAGGGCTGGGTGGGAAGTCCGTCCATCAGCGCCTCTGGCCTTGACCCAAGTGTACGGGAATGACCCTCAGTTACCAAGTTCAGCTTAAGCTCAAGGCCAGCATGCTATTCCACTTGCTTCCAGGAAAGGAAATCCCACTGGATCAGGGCTGTCACCATCGTCCAGGTTTTGTGGAGGGCACAGGCTCAAGAAATGGGTCAACACTCAAGTGCTGTTTCTGTCAAGTTCAGGGGAAAACTAACATGGCTCTCGAAATAAAAGGCAAAATCCTTGCTACGGCCAGCAAAGACCTTCTGGACCTGCCCTCCCACTGCAGCCCTGCCTCAGCTCACCTTCGGCTCTCCCTGCTCTCCCACAGTGCCTTGTGGCCGGTCTCATACTGTGGCTGCCACTCCCTGCCACATGGCCTTTGCACGTGCTGCCCTCTCTGCACGGGATGCTTCCCCTCTTTACTTGGTAACTCCCGCTGCTGTTTCCTCAGGGACGCCATCCCCGTGCTCCAGACAAGCTTACATTCCCTCTACGTCCTCAAAGTACCGTGGGCCTCTCGTCCAAAGAACATTCCCTGGTTGTATTTTTTCATTTGCTTGTGAGGTTTTTGATAGATAGCAGTGATGGCGATCTGTTTTTCTAGCTATGCTGTACATTTTTTCAGTCAGTAAACCACCGCCGCTTATCTAAAATTGGTAAACATGAACAAAATCATGTTTTCCCTCATGGAACAACTTTAAAAACACTCAGTACACAAATAGTGAAAGAACGCAGGCCCCTCTTCCCAAAACGCTTTCTCTGTGAAACTGGGATGTACCTACATCCAGTTGCTCTCAGGCAGATGAAAATAGGGTCTGCTTGGCCCCACAGAAGGGAAGGGGGTGTTGGAGGCAGAAGCAGAGCCAGCACTAGAGCCCAAGGTCGGGGCCAAGGTCAGGGCTCAGACTCTTTGGAAGATACACCCACGGGTATTTCATGGAGTCACCAGCAGTCAGTTCCATTTTTCCACACGACAGCACCACCTGCCAATACACCCAACCCAGACTCTACCCCTCAGCAACCCCCCGACTCAGCCGCCAGAACACATCACTGCTCTGTCACTGTGTTCACCAGCACCCCCGCCCCCGACCACAGCACCAAAACACCCGGCAGAGAAGGAGCACTTTCCAGAAAAGTCTAAATCTGCAGGGGAGGCAGGGATGGCCTCACAAGGCAGGGACCTTTAACTGAGGTCTTGAAGGGTACACGGGAGTGTTCTGGGGGACACCATGGCAAGGCCTGGCGTTAGGAAAGGCCGTGCTAGGAACAGCGCCATGAATGGGACAGACAGCACAGGCAGGCTCCCCGGTTCCACGGAGGCAGAGACAGACAGCTCACCTCAAACTTCTGCCGCAGCTCCTCGTTGCCTTCGCCCCCTTCCGGCGGCACGGGCACATTGAAGTACTCGCCCTCCTCCTGGCTCAGCAGCTTAAACCTAAAGGGAGACAGGGCCAGGACAAGTTCCATGACTCCACGCAGCAGGACCTCATCGGTAGAACCAGGGGAGGAGGCCTAGGTGAGCTCTACTCTAACAACATGCGGAGGGTTCTTGTTCTGGGGGGTGTGTGTGTGTGTGTAGCCGGGTGTGCTATGTATTTTTATTTTGTAACTATTCTATGGACATCAGAAAATGTACATTCTGTGCTTAAAGGATGTAACGTACTCTCGTTCTCTCCCCCCACAACTGTCTTAGTTATATCACTCCATACCACAAGTTGGCGCCTACTGTTTGCCCGCGGGGTGATTTCTGTTCTGGAAGCTGCTCTGAAGCTCTCCGTGCCCCGTTCCTGTCCCTGTCCCAGCACTGCAGCGCCCCCTCCTTTCACGCACGCTGTGGCGTGCTGCCCGGGCACTGGGCACTCGCATGGCTGTGACCCAAAGTGCTCGGACTCAAGAGAAACAAACGCCCTCCGTGGCCAGGGACACGGGTCCTGGAGTCGGTCTCCGTCTCTGCCTGAGTCGCACCTCTGCCTTTGCCTCCAGGATACCCCTGGGCAAGCTGGCTAGGCCCCCTGAGTCTTGAGTTTTCTCATCTTTAAAGGGAATAAAAGCCTCTTTTTCATAGGATCATTGTGACACCAAGATATGATGATGCATGAAAAACGGGCAGAGTCCTGGCACTTAGCACATGTTCAATAAAAGGCACATCATCACCATCACTGATAGCAATGTCATTAAATAAACTCGATGCTTCCGTTTTCCCTGACCTCCAAGACGCGTTCCCCAGTCGGCGAGAGGAGAGCGAGGAAGGAAAGGGCGTCGGCAGGCATTCGAGTCAGGAGGGAGAGAGCCCCAAACGCCTCGCTCCGCAAGAGGCCTCCTAACCACGATTGGCATCATTTAACCCCTTTCTCCACAGTCCCTTTCTCCACAGTCCCTTTCTCCATTCACTAATCACCCCAGGCAGCTTCTACACATAAGGGCTCGGTGAGTCCAGGCAGAGGTGACCAGCCGGGCCTCCACATTTAATATCCAATTCTCCCCTTCACAGTTCCCACTGGAATTCCAAAAGGAACGCAAAAGAGAGAACATCTGTGTCTTTGCCAGAAGTCACTAAGGGTGCCCCACACACAGCAGGGATTCTGGGAATCTCCACCAGCAGTGACATCCCTGCCTTCAGCGAGGCCACCCGTCAGTCACTTAGCGGCCGTCCTAGTGGCCAGAGCGGCTGTCCCAGGACCCAGCGCTTATATTCAAGTCCCCCTTGTTTTACCTAAGAGTGGCCCCAAAGCCTAGCAGGTGTGAAGCTGGCATCGGATACGTCAAGAGAAGCCATGAGTGCTTCCTGTAGTGAACAGGTGTGTGTGTGGGAGAAACATGGCCTGTGCAGGGTGCGGTACCATCAGGAGTGGGGTCCACCCACGGATAAGAGGGGCTATTGTGGAAGCCGCTGGGAAGGAAGTTAACACTCCACCTGCAGACCGTGCGTAAGCAACAACAGCTAGATCGAAACCTGTCAGAACATGGAGGAAATCTCTTCCCTCCAACTCCTGTTCGCTGTTTTTAAAGCGCGGAAGAAGTTAAGAGAGGAAAAACACATTAGCAAAATGTTCAGCTGAAATTCAAAGAGCACAACACACACCTACAGGAAGGAGACAAAGAAGCGCAGACTTGATACACACATCCCAGAGCCGATTCTCTGGGGGGAAACAACAATAAAACAGACAAACCTCTGGAAAAGAAGGGGAAGCAAGGAGACAGCATAAATAAAACGAGGAACCGAGAGGAGAATCGGGCTCAGGCGGAGCTGGCGGCAAGGTGGCGGGGCCTGAGGCTGGCGCCGCCGGGAGCCCCAGCTGCTCTCCACCCCAGCCTCAGCGCAGCACGCAGCATCACTGGGAGCGCCCGGAGCCTCAGACCCGGGCGTGACTTACTCCAGACCACAGAGTGTTAAAAGAATTCCTGGAACAAGAACCCACATTCCTAGAATTTGGTGCATTTAGAGCTAAAACAGAATCAGAGATGTTTTGGCCCTAAATCTGGAGGACATTCATCTGCAAAATCTGAAGAGGGCTTTTATTCTGCAAAAGTTCCCTCCCAACTACAATGTCATCGACTTCACAGCTTTCCTAAAAGGTGGAGGGGGCGGGGCTGTAACTACCGTGGAGATCGAGTCCTATCTGCTGAGAAGGCCACGGCAGAGAGCTGACACGACTCCAGTCCCACAGCACCCCTCCCACCAGGAGGCTCTGTGGTCCGGCTCTGAGGCTCCGGCTCTGCCCCCGTGGCAGGAGGCAGAGGGCATGTGCTTGTGCTTAGGCTCTGCCACTGCCGTGACCTGGGCCGAACCCCAGCCCTGTCCCTTCTGAGCCATGTGCCCCCCACACCTTGCTGAACTACCCTGATCCCAGGAACAGTGCTCCGCCCAGAGCGGCTGGAGAATTCTCGGACCATGCAGGTGTACACGCAGTAATAATGGGACTTAAGCCTGACGTGCTGTCCCTCACCATGAAGCCATTTGTCCTCCCTGCACTCTGCTGTGGGGCCAGGAGGGCGGCGGCACCCGTGGCCACAGCCCTGTCCTCTGGGGCCCAGAGAACCCTGGGAAGGAGAAGGGTGAGGGTGGGGGGAAAGCAGGAGCCTACAGGGAGGGCCAGAGAGAGCAGCTGCGGGCGGGGAAGGTGGAGGGCTCTCCAGCAGGAGACTCCGACATGAGGGGCAGGATGTGCTGAGGGGGTGCAGCCTGGCGGTGGCCTGGGGGTGGGACACAGAGGACAATGTGGGGGGACCTCCCAGAGGCGAAGAGCAGGAGCTGGGACTCCAGCGTGAAGCCAGATGGGGCCCCACAGCTGCACAGCCCCCCCATCCCCCCGCCTCGAGCTCACATGTAGTAAAGGGGTTCTCTGCACATCTGGTCACCGCTCATCCGTGTGACTCCCGATCTGGCGAGTGGTCAGCCTAGTGCCAGCAACCCAGTGAGACGGTGCGGCGGCGGCTGCTGCTGCTGCAATCATCGTCTCCCAGTGTCTTCTCTCTGTCTCCCCAGACCCCCAGGTCCCGTGCCCTTCCTCTGCCCTCTCTAGGCCTGACTTAAGGAGGAGGGACACGGAATCTGGGAGTGCTCACGGGGCAGTGTGCAAAGGTAACGCATCCATCTGTTAAGAACAATGATCCAAAACTTGGGGGAAAGGCAAGAAGATGACGCTGTGACCTGCTAATATCCTGCTGGAGCATTTTCTAATGAGCCCCTCCTCCCTCACAGCACCATCACCTGCTCCCAACCCAGTGGGGCCCAGACGGCCCAGCTCTGCAGAGACGATGCTAACAGAGCGGGTGAGATTCGGTCCGCTGTCCCCACATCGACACCTGCTCAGCGGCCGTTTCCTCCGACTCCCGGTCACGTCAGCCTTCCTCCTAGCGACACACACCTGCGGGCCAGCGGCCCCCTCTCCTGGTTTCCTCCTGGTGAGCTAGGGGAGCCCTGGCCGATTCTCCTTTATGAGAATGGTGTCTTTAACCATTTGTGCATTGTGCTGCAAGGCACCTGATTCTTTTCTTTTCTTTTTTGCCCTGGGCTCTGTCCTCTTGGCTTGTCTGCTCATGTCGTGATTCGCTCTCTAACTTCCTCCTCAAGGCCTCCCCCTCCGGAAGCCAGCTCCGCGGAGCATGTCTGTCCACATTCACGTGACAGACGGAGTGGACACGCAGGGCGAGTTTGAAGAAGCCCCTGGTCAGTAGGAGGAGAGACAGGCATTTGCAAGGTGGTCCCAGTGATCCGGTCTCTCTTGCTACACCAGTTTGATCTGGACTGACTTTCACTTGTAACTGAAAAGGCCCCGAGACCACTCAGAAATGCGAGAATTTCTCTTCCAGAAGCCAGAGCTGCCACGACCACTCTCCCAAACGGACAGCGCCAGTGGGACCGTCTGCTCGGACGCCTTCACCCAGATGGCTGCCCAGGGGGCTCCCCAGCCTCCTTGTAGGGAACACGGGGCAAGGAGTTTCTGCCTGAGGAAGGGACCAGGGCAAAAGCTCAGACTAAGGAGACATGCTACTGCCCGGCCAGCCAGCGCCAGCGTGGCCGCAGTCCGGGGAAGGAGACTTCTAAAGAGGCCCATATCTGGCAGTGGTGCACACGTCTCTGGGGTAAATTGTGAGAGCTGCTTTCTAACCATGGGGCCAGTTAGGCCACATAACTGTGCGAAGTGGGGCTGGTGTAAAACAATAGGGAGTGGTGGGGACTGTGGCAAATACAAAATCCTGTCTAAGGGACGTGAACTCTCCCGCTGTTCTCATTCGATTGGGCCCAGCGTGCCCAGATCTTTCTGGTTTTTCAAGACATAAGTCCCAGATTCTTATGGGAAGTCCCTGACTTTTAAAATATTGGCAATTAATTCTTTTTCGTTCTTTTCAGCACGAGGACCAAATAAAACGTATCAGTGAGGCCAGTCCAGCCTACCAGCCTTCACTCTGCGACTCGGCTTCAGCACTTCACTTGCAGGAGGAAGCGGGGGACAGGCTGGGTCCCGCGTTGGAAGGACCGGCTGTCCTACGGCTCCAAAGCAAACCTTCCTTACCAGCCGTCCACCCCCGCCTTCTGCAGCTCAGAAATCCCGAATGACAGGGAGCCCATGAAGTCGTTCCGGCTGGTCAGATCCCAGTCCCAAATCTCCACGGACAGCCTCCGGTCTTTGTCCGATTCCTTCAGCTGGCTGCAGAGAGAAAGACAGGGAGGTCAGCGCCGCGACAGTGATCTCGCCAGCAGGTGAAACGTGCCAAAGGACAAGGCCTGGAGGCGGGAGTTTTTAAAGATTACAAGCTGTTGCAAGAAATCTATTCCCTTTCCATCCCAGGCCGATCCTGGGGAGGAAGCACTTTCTCTGACATCCTGTGGCTCAGGCGGATGGCCTGCCACTCGCCCAGTGACTCCCGCTGCCTCCCTACGTCCTATCGGGCTCATGGTGTGCTGGAAATCTTGTCACAGAGTCGCTATGAGAAATAGGGTGTCGATTATATAATTGTGTGGGTGTCAGCACACATGAGGGTCGCAGGGCGAGGCTGGGGAGTGGCTGGAGAGAGCCTCCCAGGTGCTGGTCTGGGGGGGCGATGCATATTCTGAGGCATCTCCTTGCCTGAGGCTGCGATGGGCCCCTAGACGGGCTTTGAGAGGAAAGAGGGGACGAGGCTACGCTCGAGGAATCATGCTTGGAGCCCGCAGCCTCTAAGTCACTCTCAAAGGCTGACGCTCCGCCCTGTGCTTGCTGTGGGACTCGGGGCACATTCTCTAAGCCCCGTTGGTAAAATGGGTTGAAATGGCCAACGGAGCCAGACCACTTAATACAGTGCTTGTCATACATAGTATGTGCTCAATAAGCATCGGCCGACACCACTAACACCCGCTGGCCCAGGTGTGTCGAAAAGCGACCCCCGGGTTCTCGGAGCAGTGGCCAGGGAAGACCCTCCATGGAAGCTGGCAGGAGCGCCAGCGGGTGCAGGCCCAGCATTTTCCATAAGCTCAGCCCCGGAGAGGTTAGCACCACACCCTATGGGTTTGCGGAGACCCTGAGCTTCCCACAGCTTGCCTTCACCTAGCAACACATCACACTATTTTCTATGCCACCCACTCCCCCACACCACAGACATTCTCAACTCTATTAAAAAAAATGGGCTCGATGTTTACTTGGCTTGCAATGCAAAAAATGCAGATGGAAGGGGAGGAAAAGGAGGAAGGAAAGAGTGGGAGAGGAAATGGGGGAGGGAAGGAGGGAGGGAGGAAGGGTAGGAGTGAGAGGGAGGGAGGAGGGAGGGAGGGAGAAGGG